TTTTTTATAAAAAATTAATATTATTTTTATTATATTTTTTTTTTTTTTTTTATATATTTTTTTTTTTTTTAAAAAAAAAAAAAAAAAAAAAAAAAAAAAAAAAAAAAAAAAAAAAAAAAAAAAGCAACGAGCGCGGGCTGCTTGTTATTTATTTATTTATTTATTTTTTTTCTTTTGAAAAAAGAAAAAAAGAATAATCTATTTTTCGCAAAATTATCACATTTTTGGTTTTGGTTAATAGCATAACTTGTACGTGAAATAAATTTATTTTTTCACTTGTAAATATAATGCAACCATAATTATAAATTTTAATTTATATCTACCACATTTTACCGTTCCGACGCAAATAAAGTATTGTCAATAGAATCAAATGTAAAATGGATCCACTTTCAACATCACCAACGGAAGACATTATCATAACTTATGGTAGTAGTAGCCCTATTAGTAATGTTCCTTTACGAGACACACGTCGCATAGTTATGGCACATACTCGAAATTCCTCCCTTCCCATTTCATATTTTAACTCAAATTCGACAGAATCTCATCATACTCTTCGTCGTGTACATAGTTCAAGACAACTATTAAGAAATTCTTCAGGAAGTAGCAGAAATTCAGAGAGTGTAATAACGGAAGAATCAGATAATTATAGTAATAGTAATAGTAATTTTGAAATGCAAAACTTAATAAATACTGTTAACTCGGCCATAGATGAATATGTTTCATCTCCCACAACTTCTAATGCGTTATCTAATGATAATGATGATTCTTCAAAACAAAAACAACCTGTTAGACTTCAAAAAACTAGAAGTACCACTTCATCATCTCTTAAATCTTCACCTTCAATTCGTTCAGTGCATCAATTCACTCATATCAAAAAAAAAAGGATGTCAAGAACAATTCAACATATTTCTTCATTTTTACAAATTGTCGTAAATATTTCTCCCACAATTTCATTCCCTATAACTATTGAAAAGACCTTTACAATAGAAAGGTTAGCGAGACAGATTGAAGCAGAATATGCATTTAAATTTTGCGGTATAGAACAGGGTGGTTTATATGAGCCACTTGAAGTAGGGTTATTGTATGACGTCAGTATGATTGCATTACGATTTCGTGATATTGTAGGTGACGTTTTAGAACACAGAGATGTTGTAAACGTACTCAATATCTATGAAGGTACGTTAATTATTAATCGATTTGGACTAATAATAATAAATTGATTATTATATTAGATTAGTAAGTGATTAACAAAATAATGTAATTTTCCTTTTAATTATTTCAGGATATAATAGACGTTCAAATCAAATGGAAGATCTCGAAGTTGACAATGGTAACGAATTTAATAATTCTGGTTCGTTTATAGAAAAAGAATTTCCTTCAGATACCAGTACTTTACCATCAGAATCTATAACTGTTGAAAGAAGTTACAGTATGTCGAACATTGATTTTCAAAATAGACCTACAAGTTCCAGGCTTCCTCAATTTAACTCGCTTTCTACAACTCCTCCAAACGGTTCAACATCATCTTTGCCTACTTTGTCACAAATTCAGAATGAGAGCCAGGCCTTAGAAGCAAGATTTCAAGCTGTTTTATCAAATACCCTTGCGCTCGATTATTTCCAAAAATTTGCTATTAAGGAATTCTCGGTTGAAAATTTGTTATTTTGGCTTGAAGTAGAACTCTTTGTTTCAGAAATTTCTTGTGAAATTGAAGACAATTACTTTGAGGATCAACAAACTGGTGTAATTCATGCGAGATATATTTATTTGACTTATATTAGTACAAATTCTCCTTTGCAAGTGAACCTTAGTGATGAAATAAGAGGAGATATTACTTGGCCAATAGATGATGATGACATTGTGGAAAGAAATATGTTTGATGAAGCGCAAGCAGCTGTTTATCAACTAATGAAAGGTCATACTTTTATCAGATTTGAGGATAGCGTAGAATGGGAACAATGCGCAAGAAGAAAGGAATTAGGTATTAATTTAATAAATAAAGAATTTCTATTATCATAATTTACCAATTTTTTAAGATAACGTTACCACTATTATTATTATTTACCATGTTTATTTTGATTTTATTTTGATTTTTTTTTTTAAAAAAAAGAACCTGAAGTATATCAAAAGTATGAAATGACACAACCTATTGAACGTTATTTCAAACCAAGTATGTCACTTATGCTTGCCGTCACGATGGCTCTTGACCCTAGTATAGAACAACCACCAGTATCTCATTATTATAAAGAGCAAACTCTTCATTCTACTTTGTCGCAATACTTCCCTGAAACGGTTCTCCTTGACAATAAAGGAAAGAGAAGAGGACAAAATAATAACAATGAATTGGATAATTCAGGTTTGGATGGATATTTCAATAATGAAAATAGGCTAACGAATGCACAAAGAATGAAAAGAATTAAAAAGGATAGAAAATTACAATGGGTTTTCGGAGAGAAAGTTGATGAGATGGGTGATCAAATTACCGTTATACCAGGTGAAACTCTAGATGGTAGAGTAGAATATCGCGATGATGATACGAATAGTACTCTTTCAACTGTATCTGAGAATAAGAGAATCGGAAAGGATGTTTGGAATAGAAAGAAGAAAGTTGATAAATTAGAATCTATATTTGGCAAAGGGTTTAAAGATTCTCAACTTTATTCTCAAAATATACTTAAAGGGAAAGGAAATTCTTTACCAGGATCTCCATATAGTCCATCAGGAACTTTCAGTTCTGAAACTCATGATTGTTCACATTTGCAAACAATGAATGAATTAAGTGCAAAGGATAGGAGAATGTTATGGAAAAAGAGTAAGAAATTACAAGTAATGCTTGGAGAAGCATTAGATGAAGATATGATACGACAAGCTTTAACACTTCCAGTCATTCAATCAACTCCAAATAATTCTCCATATAATGAAAGATTTAATATTAATAGATCAATGACGAATGACAGCAATCTTGTGCATAGCAATAGTACAGGAAGTAATAAATTAACTCGAAGAAAACGGATTAGTCGTCGTGCATCTGATTCGTTAGTTTCACCAATTTCACCAAATTCACCAGTTTCACCACAAACTCCAGATTCAACAACTTCCAGTATCATGTTGTCACCCATAATGACACCACCGGAAAGTCCTCCTGTTTCACCTGATAAAAGATCAAGCAATAGTACTACTTTGTCTTACTCGCATACAATCAAGGGGGTGCCTTCGGTTAATCCAGATACCGTTCCATTTCTTCTGGTTAACAAAGACTCAAAGGAGTATCGACGTAAAAAATTGCAAAAACTTCATCAATTCTTGGGTGAAAAAGTTCCAGTGAATGTTATATTGGGCGAAGACGATTGTGATTTCGAATCTTTACCACCTATATCAGCTTCACCGCAATCAAGATCAAAGAACAAAAAACGACCTAATTCATTAATCTTTAACAAAAAGGGTTCTAAAGATTATTCTTTTGTCGTACCAAACACACCGAGTACACCGAGTACACCAGTAATACCTAGTCAACCTGATACTCCTTTTACAAAATTATCGGCAATCGATAGGAAACGTCATCTTCACAGAGCTGTCAAATTACAAAAAATGTTTGGCGAAACCCCTCCACAAAATTTAATTTTGTCACAGCCCAAGTACACTTTAGATAATTCATCGGAACTTTCACCGAGTTCAAGCATTGACCTTCATCGTCAAAGTATCATATCTCTTGAATATTTAATGGAAAATGATAAAGAAGCAATGTACGAACTTATTGATTATATGACATATAGTGATGATGGAGAAGCACAAGATGATATTGATAATTATTGTCAAAGAAATACCGCATTATCAGCACCTTCAACACCTTATGCTTTACCCTCTCAACATAATAAACCACAAAAACAAACAAAATTAAAAGGGATACGCAAATTATCACATTTTTTCGGTGCCACATATGGACAAATGTTTCCAGATCAAGTTTTAGGAGAACTATTAGTAGATATTGAACGAGAAATTAGAGAAGAAGCAAAACAGAATGAACAATTGGATAAATCTGTAGTGGCAGGATTAATGGGGCAATTAGAAGAATTAAGAGCGAAAACTGGTGAATATGGACCTGATTTCGGTGATGAAGGTTGTACTACTGAAGGTTCAGCTGTAACAGATGACGAATATTCATTGGAAGGATTGCGTAAAGTGGATCGTAAAGCTAGTTATATAAACTCTGATAGCGAAAGAATGTTGCTAAGACCAAGATAATTTTCAATTTTTTTAATATAATCATTTTTTTATTACTACATACGCATTTTTGTTTGTTTTTTTTTTTTGCTCTGTATATTATTATCAACTATTCTTTTTGTCTTATTCATATATTGAGTTTCACTTGTTATATACATATACATACATTAAAAATATTAAAAATATTAAAAAATACAATTTTTAAAATTCAAATTCTAAATGCATTATCGCTGTATGTATGTACACTCCCCGGTCAAAAGTATTGGACCAAAAAAAAAGTTATCGCAACTTTTAAATTTATGACTAATTTTAAT